CTAACCATTGAAGCAATGCACCTTTTGTCATTATTCATTCAGATGTGTGGGGTCCTTCTTGTGTTGTGTCTACTTCTAGTTACCGTGAGTTTGTTACATTTATTGATTGTTGTTTGCCATATTGTTGGTTGTCCTTTTTGATCGTGTGCAACTTTTTCAGACCATACTCTTCTTCGAGCACTTTGACAATTCATTGAATCTGCTTAGGTGAGGGTGCCCTCATATGTTTGAAAGCTAGTCGCTAGTTCAAATAGGCATTCTTCAGCCGACAATCATATGTTGAGTAGGATCGTTCATCAACTTNACTTTGACAATTCATTGAATCTGCTTAGGTGAGGGTGCCCTCATATGTTTGAAAGCTAGTCGCTAGTTCAAATAGGCATTCTTCAGCCGGCAATCATATGTTGAGTAGGAGCTCGTTCATCAACCTNATATGTTTGAAAGCTAGTCGCTAGTTCAAATAGGCATTCTTCAGCCGACAATCATATGTTGAGTAGGATCGTTCATCAACCTGTGAACGGAAAGACTAAAAAAGTTCAAAAATTGTACAAAGAGCGAGCCAAAAACCTGACCTCTCTACCTATTCCCTTAAACAGATAGGCACAACAATTGGTATTGGCTTATTTCCGCACCTGTACAATTGATTGCTTTAAGGCTTTGCATCTTTCTAATGCTACAAAGTTCTCGTCTTGCTTGGTTTTATCTACTATGCAGGGANAATTGTACAAAGAGCGAGCCAAAAACCTGACCTCTCTACCTATTCCCTTAAACAGACAGGCACAACAATTGGTATTGGCTTATTTCCGCACCTGTTCAATTGATTGCTTCAAGGCTTTGCATCTTTCTAATGCTACAAAGTTCTCGTCTTGCTTGGTTTTATCTACTATGCAGGAAAGGTAAAGTTTTCTCATGCTTTAGATCTTTCCATAAAATGGTGAGTGCTCAATGTACGCCAAAGTCAAAATTCTTCGATGTGATAATGGAATCGAGTATATTGATGGGGAATGTTCTTATTTCAATGAAAATGGCATCCGGTATCAAACTACTTGTGTGAGTACTCCTGAGCAAAATGGTGTTGTTGAGCAAAAAAATTGTCATCTTCTTCGGGTTGTTCGTTCATTAATGTTTACTATGAATGTTTCTCAATATTTCTGGAGGGATGCAATTCTTGCTGCTGCTTATCTTATTAATTGTCTACCCTCGAGTCCTTTAGTTTAAGTCTTCTATCGACTGCCTTCTGAGTCTTTTTCTATTCCTTATATTTCTTCCTTTCCCTCTAAAGTTTTTGAGTGTGTTTTGTAGACGATTACAGACCCTTTAGGGAGAAACTTGACCTCAAGGCTCTACGATGTGTTTTTGTTGGTTATTCTGTCACCCAAAAGGGATATAAATGTTATCATCCAAAGTCACAAAAAATGTATGTTAGCGTGGATGTTACCTTTCGTGAATTTGTGTCCTTCTCTACTACCTTGACATCTCTTTTAGGGGAGAATACCACTATAGGGGAATGGATGTTTTGTTAGGAACCTCTTTTTCAATTGTCAGTTAAGTGGAATGTTAGTTAAAGGAACAACAATTTATGGAGAAAAAAGGTGAGGATAGTGATCCACATTGTGTTCACATTCACAAGGAAATTCTTGAAGACTTATTATTGGCGTCAAAAAGTACATATTATCCATGTGCCGCATAAGCAGTTGGATTCTTTAACTCTAGTTTTATCCTTTATTGATTTATCAGGTAATGAACCTCCAAATGTTACTCATGTTATTAATAATCCAGTTGTTGATGACTCTGATATTTCTATTGTAGTCAGAAATGGTGTTGGAGCTTGTGTTCAATAACCTATCTCTAGTTGTCTGTTATGATATCCCGTGTCCATCCTATCGTACTTTTGTTTCTTTCTGGTCTTTCATATCTATTACTTAGGGTTGGAAAGAAGCACTTAGTGATTTTAAGTGGAGAGAAGTTATAGCAGAGGAAATAAAAAAGGTGAAAGTAATAAATTAATATTAGGGTTAGAGAAATATGGAGAAAAGAGAAGATAAGGAGAATAAAGAATAGGCAGAGAATAATGAATCAGTTGTGTGTAGGCTATGTTGTCCTACACCATCTTATTTATAATTGAGTAATGTTTTGGGTAATTCCAATATTACTCTACACTAATAGACTTATGACTTAATACATAAAATAACTCTTAACACCCCTCTCAAGTTGGAGCATAAAGATAAAAAATGCCCAGCTTGAAACATAAATTACTAAAGGTCAGTTGAGCCAATGGTATGGTAAAAATGTCACCCAGTTGATCACAAGATTTAATATATAGAGTGACGATCTCCTTTTTCATTAATAGATCTTTAGATGAAAGGACAATCCACCTCAATGTGTTTGGTATGCTTATAAAATACCGGATTACTAGCAATGAAAATTGTAGCTTGATTATCACTATGTATCTTTATAGATGAAGACACATCAAGTCTCATATCATGAAGCAAAGAACGAAGCCATAACATCTTACAAGCAGGATGGCCCTACACCATAGGCAGAGAATAATGAATTAGTTGTGTGTAGGCAATGTTGTCCTACACCATCTTATTTATAATTGAGTAATGTTTTGGGTAATTCCAATATTACTCTACACTAATACTTATGATTTAATACATAAAATAACTCCAACACCCTTCTCAAGCTAGAGCATAAAGATAAAAAATGTCCAGCTTGAAACATAAATTACTAAAGGTCGGTTGAGCCAATGGTATGGTAAGAATGTCGCCCAGTTGATCACCAGACTTAATATATGGAGTGACGATCTCCATTTTCATTAATGGATCTCACATGAAAGGACAATCCACCTCAATGTTTTTGGTATGCTCATGAAATACCGGATTACTAACAATGAAAATCGTAGCTTGATTGTCACTATGTATCTTCATAGATAAAGACACATCAAGTCTCATATCATGGAGCAAAGAACGAAGCCATAACATCTTACAAGCAGGATGGACAGCACGATACTCACCCTCGGCACTAGAGCATGCAACCATATGCTGCTACTTATTACGCTAAGTAACAAGATTATTTCAAACAAACATATAGTAGCTAGATGTAGATCGTCTATCACCATGACTACCTGAGCAATCAGCATTAGAAAAACTAACAATAGTTATGGGTGATGATGGATGATATAACAATCCTTTCCCTAGAGCTTCTTTCAAGTGTCGAAGTATGCGGTAGACACCCTCCCAATGAGGTTGATGAGGAGCATATATGAACTGGTTAACCACACCCAAGGATCGAAATATCGTTTTGAATTACTGTTTCGGTCAGCTCAAAAACGGAAACATTTCGGAATCGCAATGAAACGCAGAAAAAATATGAAAACACGTGAAAATATAAATACAATCTATTTATTTATAAAGATAAGCTAAATAATTGATTAATACAATATATTTATTGGGTTAACATCCATTTATACAAGAATAAATTTAAATTGGAGGGAAAAAAAGGGCTTGACATGAGGCAGAAATCACTTAAATTAGTTTCAAACACTTAGTTTTCATCCCGTAAACACATTTTTATATAATGTTAAGATCTCATAATACACATGAAATGCTAATAAGTACATACTTATATAGCTACATCCATCCCTTTGTGAAGTGTCGAGCAGACTCATACATCGATGTAGTCTTTGGGTAGTTACTTAGAGGAACTCTATATATGGCATAAATATGGTGATAATAATATTAAAATCATTGTGTACACAATTTGTACACACATAAATACTTAATTCTAGATATTTAACAAATAAGTTATAATTAATAAAATGACTTGCAGTTATTTAATATACCAATTTAACAAATGATAATAACATAAAAGAATAATTACAAAAAGGAAAAAAAATAATAAAGTATATCAAACTAAATTAATGGTACTTATGTATACTTAAAAGTAAAAAGTTAAAATACAGTGGGGTATTAAATGTAATTGTTCATACTTATAACCAAAAAAAAAATATAAAAGGCAGAAGACTATGCACAATCATGAGTCTCGTGACCCATGAACAAACACAGACAGAGACAAAGAGAAGATAGAGAGGCAAGAGGCGAATGAGATGCCGGTGCCCCAGAGAGAGGGGGAGAGAGAGAGAGAAGAACATACCCGGTAGCTCGTGGTCGCAGCGATGAAGACGGGACTCCCAACTGCCAAGCCCTAGATTTGCGTGAAAAATGATTGAATCTGCCCAAATTTAGACTCAAGGTGGTAAGTTACTGAAGTCTTCTCCTGTAATTTCTGGCCAATAGTCTATATGTGTCTTTCTTTTTCTCTGTCTCCTCGATTTCGTCTGGTGCTTGTCCCTCCCTCTTCTCTCTGTTTTTTTTTTCCTTGGAAGGCCTGGACCTAGACATGCAATTTCTGAGAAAATTTGAGATTTCTATGATCATTATTTTTTATTATTTTTTTTTTTGGCATAGAGGACCTGAGAATTTTGATATTTTACTTGTGAAATCTTAGCGTTTTGAGAGTTTCCTTTTTTTTTTCTTTTGGCCTAGAGTGAAGCGAATCTATACACTGTTTCGTCGAAACGGTACTATTTCGACCGAAACGGTCCGACACGGTGACGTTTTGACCGAAACTTTGGAATTTTGAGATTCAACCCATGTTTTGTATCGGTGTGTTGAAATTTTGAAACGTTTCGGACGTTTCAATAAGACATTTCAATCCTTGACCACTCCACATGGTGTTTAACAATTGTAAATTCTTTGTTCCATACTTATTGTTCTAGTGGTAATAAAAATGTACTGCACCTGACTAGTTAGTGTACATATGGATTTTTCTATATCTATCTGTTGCTTGTAATGACTGTTTTATATTTTTCCGTTTCTTTTAATTTCTGATGACAAATGGATAGCTTTTCTTTTCAGCCCTAGTGCTATGAATAAAATGTCCATTTCATGCATTCGATTTCATGCATGTACTTGCTTACCCCATAGGAAATTAGAACAATGTCTGCCATCAACTTTCATTCTATTATTGTCAATGAACTTATTAATTTAGATGTCTTTACATTTTTGTCTCAGCAAAACTATACGGTTTTGAGTGAAGCTGATATTCGGCATTGCCAAGAGGAAAATATTATTAAAGTATCCGCTGTGCTTTCCATTTCTAAGGTTGCTGCTGGCATCCTTCTTCGCCACTATAATTGGTAATTTGTTTTTGCCATATGATTTCCTGTTGTGAAATGTACTTTGTGGTGACTTAGGATAACATGGAATTTTCAAGTTCTAATATTATTTAAATGTGCACGAGTGCATAATATACAATTTGATGCATGTATAATGGTTTTAGTTCATGTACATGACATGTGAAGTCAAATTATACTGTTTATCAGATTCTTAGTCTTGTAATCCTTGCATCTTCCTTTACGTCTTGTTTTTCTTGTATGGAGGTTGTAATGACATTTGGGGGTTAATGTCCTAAATAGTTTTGGCTGACTTTGGACTCACAGGAATGTCAGTAAAGTGAATGATGAATGGTTTTCTGATGAAGAAAAGGTACGAATGGCTGTTGGCTTGCTGGAGAAACCAGTTCCATTTCTCAATGCTAAAGAGGTAAGTGATCCACTAATTTGGGACTCATTAACTCTTTGTGGTTGTNCCATTTCTCAATGCTAAAGAGGTAAGTGATCCACTAATTTGGGACTCATTAACTCTGTGGTTTTNTGGAGAAACCAGTTCCATTTCTCAATGCTAAAGAGGTAAGTGATCCACTAATTTGGGACTCATTAACTCTTTGTGGTTGTTGTGCATGATATTTTGATTCTGACTATACAAGTAGAAATCTAATAAATTACTCTTTATCATCTTTTTATAAACTACTACTCACATGTCTACTCATTTTGCCAGCTGACTTGTGGGATCTGCTTTGAAACTTTTCCTTGTGATAGGATGAATGCTGCTGCTTGTGGTCATCCTTTTTGTGTGACATGCTGGCAAGGTTTGTTCCAGTAGATACAGTACATTTATCCACTCAAAAATTGAGAGTTGGAAAACACGTGATCCTCGCATTTGCTTCAAACATCTGGAATGAAGAACTGTGTCATTAGTTTGTGTTAATAATAGAGTCTCAACCCTTTATTTCCCCTAGATTTGTTGTCATGATATTAAATCTAATTTCTATGTCATTTAATTAATCATGTGACTATGTGAATGCCTTGAAGATGGGGACACTTCCACATCATAAGATGAAGAGTAACTTAACATAAAACAAAATAATGGTAAACCTACATATGTATGTTTTTTTGAAACCTACATATATTGTAAAAATCCTAAATATTAAGCTACTTTAGCTTCTGCTGCATGGGAAGTACTTGACTTCGACAAGAAAGTGTTTGAAAGTCTCTAAAAGAAGCCCTCTTGGTGTCACCGCTTGATGTTGTCTTTGTGGTCTGGATATCGAGGTTGTCCTCATTCGATCTATTTATGTCAGCAGAAGATTTATTGTGAATGTTTGTCACTTCAGATGGATCTCCATGAAACTTGAAAAGATCTACTATCTTGAAGATAGGATGAGTGAGCACATCATTTGGAAGGTCAAGAAGATAAGCATTGGTGTCAGACTTCTTAAGGACTCGAAACGGGTCCAAACTTTCTGCGACTCACCATTGCCATAATATCCAACTGGAAATTTCTTTCGCCAAAATATTTGCTTCCTATGTTGTTGACATCTCCTTCTACTCAGAATTGGTAGCTTTCTGTTTCTCAACTACATCTCGCTGCACATTTTTTACTTGCTTAATAAGCTAATGAACAACTCATAGAGCAATGATAAAAAATATAGGATGAGGTATCCATTGATTATTTCAAAAGACGGTTTTCTTGTGGACACTTGCAAGTTAGGTGTCTAACTAACTAACCCAGTTTGCGATTGATTGTCCATTCGTCTATATGGATGAAAGGCACTACGAAATTGTAAGGTAGTCCAAGCTTACTATATGCTCTCCCACAAAAATGATTGATAAACTAGATGGCCCACCTGGGGTACATCACCTAGGAAGGCTATGCAAATGCACTTATTTTAATGAGCTATATCTTACACATTAACGGCTCTCTGACATGAAAGGAAATGAGCCATCTTAGATAATCTATCCAGGACCAAAGAGACATAATCTAACTTTCTCGGAGACTTGGGCTGCTAAGAGCGAAATCCATGCAAATATCTTCCTAAGCTCCATTAGGTTTAGGCAATATAGTGTACAAATCTGAGATCTATGTAGTTAAAGCCTATTGTGTATTGTTTCTTTGTTGTTTTGATTTTGGGTTGGACAACTTAAACTAGACGATGAATTGATCATTCCTTCTCCCTTTGCCTAAGAAATTGAATGGCTGACTGGGTCAGTCCCTCTTTTTCTTTATTCTTTTTTAATATTCTTTCTCCTTTTTTCAATCTCTCTCTACCTCTCTATCTGATTTTCTATATCTCTTCTCCATTTCTCTTTTCTGCGTTCTCACTCTCTCTTCCATTTTTTCCCTTCTTTCTTCATTTCTGCCTCCTTTTTTTCCCTTCCTTTTCTTGCTTTTATCTTATTGTACTTTCCCCTTTTTCTTCTCTGCCTGTAATCTTCAATCCCCCCTCTCTCTGCGTCTTTCCTCACTTCGATTTCTCTCTCTTTCTTGTCTTTCTCTCCGTCTTTTATTTTGTCATCTCTTTCTTGTCTTTCTCTCTTCTTTCTTTTTCTTCTTCTCAATCTTTTTCTTTTTCATAAACCTCATGCCCATACTTATACTCTCTCCCCCCTATTCTTTACTTCTTTCTCTCTTCTAGTTTTTTTTTGTTT